GGGTACGTCTACACTTACCTCCGGGTCCGGCAGTAAGCAATCGATCTTCTGGGATCGATCCCGGAACTGCTCGCCGTCGACGCCGGTACTCCAGCTCGGCGAGAGGCGTATGCGGCATCGACGGGGGAGCCTGCCTGCCGCATCTGGACCCGCGGTAAGTTCGAACTAAGGTACTTCGAATTCAGCTACGTTATTAACGTAGCTGAATTTGCGTACCTTAGTTCGAAGTGGGGGGGTTAGTGTGGACCAGGCCTTATATTCATTTTACACATGGGCACAATGAGGCACAGAGAGATTACACAGACCACACAGCAAGTCAATGTCAAAGCCAGAAACAAGGCCTAGGTGGCTTTACTCCCTGTTACAGAGCATATACTCTCCCTAGGAACAGTAGTCCAAATCCTCAAAGATATTTAGGCTCCTCACTTCCATTCCTTTGAGCATCTGGGCCAGCATTCCTAGTTTATCCATTAATATGCTACAAAAGAGTGAGATTTCATGCACTGTTATTACTCTTCATGGGAAAGTGAGACAAGTTAATATCAAAATAAAGCTCACAAGTCAATGAATTTTAAAGATGAAGGTCGGAAATGTCTGTTTAAAAAGTACTTACCATTATTGTAATGTGCTACTTGCTCCCAGAAGGCCTTGTGCAGGCCTGTTAAAAGCTCTTCCTTCTGCGAAAGAGAGAGGTTGCTCTTTACAGTTAACTGGTCCAATATGCCAGCTACAGCACCTAGTCTACATTTACTTTCTTCTTGTATCCTTGTCTTCAAAAAATCAACCATTTTCACCATTAGCTCCCAATTAAATATTTTTTCCTGAATGTCCTGAAAACAAAACAAAAATACTATGTAAAAAATTAAGTGCAGGCAGAGTGCTGAATCTCTGCAACATGCTGAGCCCTTCATTAACCCATTCAATACTGAATGATGCAAGAGACAAAAACCGTGACGCTAGACAAACTGTTTCCTCCAGCGACCCATTCATTTGATTGTGTGTGCTCACTTGCACCATGGAACGGGTTAAGCAAAGCTGTCTACATTTTCCATCCAGTGCTTCCTGGCTCTTTAAGAAATGAAAATAAATCTAAAATGAATGAAGCAACATGAATAATAAGTTAGCACTGCACATTTCAATGTTCAGCACAGGCTGATGCTGAGGGGAAAAAGTTTCACTAGATGGAGCAAAAGGATAAGATCTAAGGATTTTTTTCTTCTAAAATACTGCCCAGCTGGTCAGTTTTCATTTAAGAATGAGCACGGTTATAGGACTACAATACCATTGTAGAGTGAGTCCTAATACACTGAGATTACTGATGGTATATAAAACAAAGTAGCTCAGTAAATGATTGAAAAATAAAAGTCATTACAGACCACTTCCATTACACTATGGCACAGGAAACCCAGGTTCATAGCCCATCTAAAAAATCTTGCTCCTCAGGTTAGTGGTGCTTATATAATGGCTTGAGATGGGGAGAGGTACGTGATGCTGGTAAACCAAGTGCCAGCTCTAGCCAAGGCTGTAGGCATTAGCTAAGAACTGACAAACTCATAGCTGGAAACCAAACCAGCTCACCTGTATGTTAGTTTTGTTCAAAATAGGTATTAGTCTTAAAAAAATTAGTTAGTGTTTAGACTCTGTGAAATGCTCGTAAGTTGCTGCATGCATTAATCTCACTTGTAATGGCTATATTCCATGCTATAAGGAAATATGTAAGTTATGCTTTATAACTTTAAAAGTGTTTGCTCTGAACTTGTGAACCCAGGTATGGGAATCACATCCCCATTAAGGAGGCCTATTAAGATTAAATGGGCCATTGAGAAACATCACAGTACAGAGGATTGTGACTGGCCCTATCACACCTTGGAAATGCTATGTGCAAGGGAATTCATATCATGGACAGGAAGGCCAAATGTAAAAGATAAAACAGGGTCACAAGAAAATTTGTCATCTCTTGGTTTTTTTGAACTCTCACAGGGCCAGAGACATTAAACAAAGGCAGAGATTCCCCAAGGGTTATCCCTGGGTCTCCTGTGGGGATATCTTGAATTGACAGATTACCACTTTACTGTCATCTTTAGGAATCATGGATGGTTCCTTTGTGTATATGTTTGCTTGCTTTAACCATTTCTTTTTGTCTAGTTAATAAGCCTTTAAATAGTTTATTACAGGACTGGCTACAAGCATTGTCTTTGGTGTAAGATCTGAGATACAAATTGATCTAAGGTAACTGACTGGTCTCTTGGAACTGGAAGCAACCTGAATATTGTGTGATTTTTGGTGTAAGTGACCATTTACTGTATCACTAAGTCCAGCTTGCCTGGGTGGTAAGATAGACTGGAAAGTCTATGGGGACTGTCTGCGACTCTATGGTAAGACTGTTACAGTGATCCAGGAGTTCACATCTGTTACAGAGTTGGTGAAGTCTAATTATAGAAAACACCACCAGTTTGGGATGTCTGCCCTGTTTTTGACAGTCTGCCCTGAGACAGGCACTCATGCTCGTGAGCCACTCCAGACAGAATGATAGGGTGACCCTTAGCAACTACTGCAACTAAAGGAGAAGATGGTCCTTCTCCAAAGAGCTAGAAGATCCATGAAGGCAACGTTAGGTAGAAAAACTTATTAAATGTTGGACCCAAACATAAGAAATAATCCATTTAGACTGAACATTCATATTGAACCAGGCACAACTGAGGAAAGTCCATGTGTGGAAGCTTAGTGGACCATGGTGCAGAGAGACCACCTATAAAGATTATTTGCCAGTGTGGGTCATTAATTTTATTTGACTCCCACATTGCACAATCATAAATCATTAGCTACTAACCACTAAATATTTTATGGGTGAAAAAATGCATCTAGAGGCCATAGTGGGCCAGATTCTGATCTCATTTATACTTCTGTAAATCCAGAATAATTCCAATTACTTCAGTGGAGTTACTCCACAATAATAGCCTGTATAACTGAGAAGGATCTGGTCCAATGACAGGTTAATTATGCGTAACAGTATGCGCTTTATGTTGCATTAAAATGAATATACTTGTAAATGTTATTGCTTCCTCTCTCAAGGCCAGGTTAGTAGGAGGTGCTGAGGGTCTTCAATTCCAAAGGAAGTCAGGAGTGCACTCAGAACCCTTCTTAATTTGAAGTATGGCCATCCAGGCATGGTAGAATACATACAAAAAAGATGTCTCAATGCGCAGGTTGATATTTCCCTTCCCCATCTTTAGATATAGTGCTCTTGCTGCTTGCTCATTGCTCTCATTAAAATCTTGCAGAGCATTTTTATTCTACCATGACTGGATAGTCGTGTTTTCAGAACCAGAATCAAAGCAATGAGAGGTCACTCACTTAAGCGTTTTTACAAACTACTGAGAAAGCTAGTCTCCTTATAACAGGTTAAAGTAAACAGGCCACAGCTGGTAAGTTGTCTACCTAATTCATAAACTCTGATTGACATAAACATTACACAGTCTCATTATGCTCTGAGTTAGGATTGACTGTTTGAGTCTCTCTTCAGCTTTCTCTCCTCTTGTACTTTACCATTGCTTGCAAATCCTGAGACTGGCTTAATAACCCTTCTACTGCAATCATTCTCTCAGTCAGATTCATCATTATCTTTCCTCTTTTGGCACTTGAGCAATTTGATTGGTTCAGGAGAAACTGCTCGGCTTTGTCTGCCTGCTTCCAGAAAGCTTCCATCTGCAGAGTAGGAATTAAAACACATCAATTATTTCCCCCTTTACCTAAAAAAAACCCATAATATTCAAAAACCTGAGAAATTAATTACCCTACAACACAGAGATGTGTTCTATTATGGGAGGCAAATCATTGTAATTCAAGATGAAGCCATTAAAAAGTCATCATTTGGCAAAACCATTTTCACAAAAATCTCATATTTTGAAACATGGCGACGCACCCTGGGTAATGTCAGATACCAGCGTATGGTACCTGTTGGCTAATTCTGACTCTTCATGGAGGTTAGTGTATACAATTTTATTTAAGATTGCTATTTAAAAGAACTCCTCACACACAACACACTAAAAATAGGCTAATTCAGTGGTCCCCAAACTTTTCAGAGTCATGTGCCCCCTGTCCCTGGAGCCAGGGCCGGGAGCGGGTATGCGGCTCCCGGGCAGGGGGGACATGGACAGGGGAAAGGGGGCTGAGGCTGGGGCTGCAGCTGGGGGCAGGTCTGGAGTGGAGCTGTGGCTGGAGGGGTCTGGGGGTGCCCCCTCCATGTCTCCCATGGGAGCTGGCCCAGGCCCCGCCGCACCCCAAGTGTTCCTATTCACCCCCTCCAGGGGGGTTGCACCCCACAATTTGGGGACCTCTGGACTAATTACTACAATTGGGGATAGAAGAATGGTTATTAGCCTGTCATCTCTTTCTAACAAGTTCCTTTATTATCAATGTTGTAGCATGGGAGTGCATATGTAGCAAGATTTTAGTTTAAAACTCAGAAGTTTTTCACCAGCTGAGGTTTTTTGCAGCTATTGAGTTTGTAAACATTATATTAACTTCTCCGAAATTGTAAGCATATTATGTGGGTTAGAAAGGTGTATGCCCCACCTACAGATCACCAGCTTTAGGCTCTAATCCTGTAGATACTTGTGCACAAGCTTAATTCTATACATGTGAGTCATTCCATTGACTTTGGTGAGATTACTTACATGTATAAAGCTAACCACATGTACATGTGTAGAATCAGGGTCTTATACTGTAAGCTTTCCAGGACAGGGACTTGGGTCTGTGCAGTGTCCAGCCATCTAATGGTTATATATTGCTGCAACATAAGGGTGCCCCAGTCCTGACTGGGGCCTCTAGATGTTATCATCATAAATCTTTATTAGTAATAGTAATAATAATAATTAAGGGGGAGATTGTGAATAGTGGCTGGCACTTGACTTTCAATGGGATTTGTGCTACTGAATGTCCCCCAAAACAGCCAAGAATTGTACTTTGAAATTACAGGTGCCTTTTTTTGGAGGTGCCAATCTGCTGTGTATGGTGAGGAAAGGAAAAACCTTATAGCACTGAGGGAAGAGAGGTGCTCTTCAAGGGCCTGTGGCTGAAGTCAAGGAGAATCTTTCCATAATATAGTAACTGTGATGTGATGTGTAACTCCACTCAACTACCTCAACTACCTGAAGGGGGGGGGGGTTCCGAAAGAGGATGGAACTAGGCTGTTCTCAGTGGTGGCAGATGACAGAACAAGAAGCAACTGTCTCAAGTTGCAGTGGGGGAGGTTTAGGTTGGATATTAGGAAACACTATTTCACCAGGAGGGTGGTGAAGCACTGGAATGGGTTACCCTAGGGAGGTGGTGGAATCTCTGTTCTTAGAGGTTTTTAAGGCCCGGCTTGACAAAGCCCTGGCTGGGATGATTTAGTTGGGGATTGGTCCTGCTTTGAGCAGGGGATTGGACTAGATGACCTCCTGAGGTCTCTTCCAACCCAAATATTCTATGATTCTATGGGTATGTCTTCACTACCCGCCAGATCAGTGGGTAGTGATCGATTTATCGCGTCTAATCTAGACGAGATAAATCAACCCCAGAGCGCTCCCCCATCTTTGGTGTAAGATCTAGGGTAAGTGACTGGTCTCTTGGGACTGGAAGCAACCTGAATATTGTGTGATTTTTGGTGTAAGTGACCATTTATTGTATCACTAAGTCCAGCTTGCCTGGGTGATAAGATAGACTGGAAAGTCTATGGGGACTGTCTGTGACTCTATGCTGTACTCCAGCGCTGCGAGAGGCGCAAGCAGAGTTGACAAGGAAGTGGCAGCAGTCGACTCACCACGGTGAAGACACCATGGTAAGTCGATCTAAGTACATCGACTTCAGTATGTTATTCATGTAGCTGAAGTTGCGTAACTTAGATCAATCCCCTTTCCCCCCCAGTGTAGACCAGGGCTACGATTCCACACATGGAGGCAGATCCTCATCTGATGTAAATTATCATACCTCCATTAAATGACAATTTACATCAGCTAATGGTCTGTCCCATGAAGCTCAGTAAGGCTAGATGACACTAATAATATCCGTTTCACACATGATTAACTCTGTAGAATATTGAACAATAAGTTCTTTAAAGGATTGCCTTCACAGTCTCACAAGAAATGTCACATGCTTCTATCTCTGTCAGCCGGACATGTGTTATTAAGTGAAAGGAACAGAGATTAAATAGAAAACCATAGAAGTTCACACTGGCATATTTCACAACTACCGAACATGTCAGAATGACTGTCGGTTTCTCTGTCAGAGAGGCCCAGGGCTAGGATATATGGGCTGTTCAAGTCAGGACTGAAGTGCACTGGCAGATCAGTGTGGGGAAGCTTATACATACCCTGCCAGTATGACTGGTCTCTCATACTCATGAACACTAAATTAACTCAAATGTTGAAAAAAAATGGAGAGAAAAAGACAGTCTGAGAGAGTCTATTTTCGGGCAGACTAGATAGATAAGATCTTTTTCCACCTCCAGGTTTTCTGGCTCAGGAATTAGTTTTGACACACTAGTGCTATTGAACTGAAAAATTATCATTTCATGAGGATCAAATGTCAACAGTAAAATTACATTTTTGCATTTAAAAGCAGTTTAAATGTGTTACACTGTGCAAAGCAGCATAGCCAGAAGAGTTACTGAGGTGTTAGTAACACTTTAATTATGCCAACTGAAAAAGTTTATCTATGAACTGTGCATACTTTACACGGTACAAGTGAGTATCAGATGTAAGGAAAAATATTACAGGCCAAATTCTGCCTTCATTGCACAAGTATAATCCCACTGAGCTCAGATGGGTATAAAAGAGTTTAGAGTCTATGCCTATATGGTTTATTTCAACAGTAGATTTTTGAAAAACAGAAAATGCACTAAGAATGAAAACTAGAATAATCACTTAATTCTTACTACCAGCCTGCTTATTTCACTCTAATGCCACTTCAGTTCCAACATGATTTTAGCAGCCTTTGTCTTGAGAACGACTACAGCTAGCACTTCATACCAGTGCTGAAGATATAGCTGAGATTTTGGTATATAAAGCATTAATCTATTACATTATTATATACAGTTCTAAGTCAACCTTTACTGAAATATCTTTTACACAAAAGTGTACCAGTAATCTTTCAAGATATGTAACTAATTCTCTTAGTGGCTCAAAAGATATATCAGGTCCTAAAATCATATTTAAATTAAGGTTGGGGGAAAAAGTAAGATTATAATAAGAATTATGTGATAAGGTCCAACAGCTTATATTATACAAGGGCTTGAAATATTTTACTAGTCCAACAAAGTAATAAGCATTTGACATCTCTATGTATTGTGCAAGAACCAGTGAACCAGAATCAGAAAAGAAAGATGCTAGTTGCTGGCCAGAGTTAGAAACACTTTGCTAGACAAATGTACACATGCTTTCAGGATCAGTGGATCATAATCCTGGACTAGTGATAACGAAGAAAAAAAATATTGATTCCCCTATCAACAGAACAATGTTAATTTAGAAATATAGAGATGAATAAAAAATGATATAGGTACATTATCTATGATATGTTCAGAATATTCCCTCTCTTTCCTTTCTAAGTCTTCTAAGGTCTGGTAGTCTGAATTACGAGCGCCCGACATTTCAGTACTCAGTAGTCTGGAGGTAAGTTGTTTCTGTAACTCTTCCAAATCCTGGAAAAATAAGAAACCTGTTACACAGGAAAATAGCTCGTTCTGACTTGGCAAAAAGTATTACTTGGAAAATAATAATATACACCCGGCTTCTATTGAAAAAATGCTAATTTATAAGAGAGTTTGCGTCTTGCCCATGATTCTTCATGAAAGTAAATTCAACAAACGTGTTCAGGAAGTTTTATTTCTAGGTACTGCCGTTCCTGCAGTAAGTAGAGAAAACATCAGACATTAGGCATGAGTCGGCCCTGATTTACACTTATTTTACACAGTGTAACTCCACTTAACTCAATTTAAACCAGTGTGAGATCAGAATCAGTCCTGGTGTTCATTTCCACTGACTTTGGATACCATTAAGCATTGATCCAAGTCTTCATATTTTTAACCCTTGTAGTGCACCCACAAGTATTTTCAAGAAGATTGCAATTTTGGCTCCCCATCTTTAATTGGCTTCTAAAACTGCCCATGCAGTGCTTGGGGATGGTAGGGTATGAGTATCTGATCCATGTGTGCAAATGCAGGTGGTTAGCAGTGTGTGTGTGTGTGTGTGTGTGTGTGTGTGCGCACACACACATATATGTACGGTAAGGTGCATTTTTAGATGCCACTTCAAAATGTTGACTTTTAATGTTTACATAAGTGATCCCTCTTCTGCCGTCCATCTCCACCCTCTGACAAACAGAGGCTAGGAACACTATTCCTTACCCATCCTGGCTAATAGCCATTAATGGACTTAATCACCATGAATTTATCCAGTTCTCTTTTAAACGCTGTTATAGTCCTAGCCTGCACAACCTCCTCAGGCAAGGAGTTCCACAAGTTGACTGTGCACTGTGTGAAGAACTTCCTTTTATTTGTTTTACACCTGCTGCCCATTAATTTCATTTGATGGCCCCTAGTTCTTATATTATGGGAACAAGTAAATAACTTTTCCTTATTCACTTTCTTCACAGCACTCATGATTTTATATCTCTATCATATCCCCCCTTAGGCTCCTCTTTTCCAAGTTGAAAAGTCCTAGCCTCTTTAATCTCTCCTCATATGGGACCCGTTCCAACCCCCTAATCATTTTAGTTGCCCTTCTCTGAACCTTTTCTAATGCCAGTATATCTTTTTTGAGACGAGGAGACCACATCAGTACGCAGTATTCAAGATGTGGGCGTACCATGGATTTATATAAGGACAATAAGATATTCTCCGTCTTATTCTCTATCCCTTTTTTAATGATTCCTAACATCCTGTTTGCTTTTTTGACTGCTGCTGCACACTGCGTGGATGTCTTTAGAGAACTATCCACGATGACTCTAAGATCTTTTTCCTGATTCGTTGTAGCTAAATTAGCCCCCGTTATATTGTATGTATAGTTGGGGTTATTTTGTCCAATGTGCATTACTTTACATTTATCCACATTAAATTTCATTTTCCATTTTGTTGCCCAATCACTTACTTTTGTGAGATCTTTTTGAAGTTCTTCACAGTCTGCTTTGGTCTTAACTATCTTGAGCAGTTTAGTATCATCTGCAAACTTTGCCACCTCACTTTTTACCCCTTTCTCCAGATCATTTATGAATAAGTTGAATAGGATTGGTTCTAGGACTGACCCTTGGGGAACACCACTAGTTACCCCTCTCTATTCTGAAAATTTACCATTTATTCCTACCTTTTGCTCCCTGTCTTTTAACCAGTTCTCAATCCATTAAAGGATCTTCCCTCTTATCCCATGACAGCTTAATTTACGTAAGAGCCTTTGGTGAGGGACCTTGTCAAAGTCTTTCTGGAAATCTAAGTACACTATGTCCACTGGATCCCCCTTGTCCAAATGTTTGTTGACCCTTCAAAGAACTCTAATAGATTAGTAAGACATGATTTCCCTTTACAGAAACCATGTTGACTTTTGCCCAACAATTTATGTTCTTCTATGTGTCTGACAATTTTATTCTTTACGATTGTTTCAACTAACTTTCCGGGTACTAACGTTAGACTTACTGGTCTGTAATTGCTGGAATCACCTCTAGAGCCCTTTTTAAATATTGGCGTTACATTAGCTATCTTTCAGTCATTGGGTACAGAAGCCGACTTAAAGGACTGGTTACAAACCACAGTTAGTAGTTCCGCAATTTCACATTTGAGTTCTTTCAGAACACTTGGGTGAATGCCATCTGGTGACTTGTTACTGTTAAATTTATCAATTAATTCCAAAAGCTCCTCTAGTGACACCTCAATCTGTGACAATTCCTCAGATTTGTCACCTACAAAAGCTGGCTTAGGTTTTGGAATCTCCCTAACGTCCTCAGCCGTGAAGACTGAAGCAAAGAATTCATTTAGTTTCTCCACAATGACTTTATCATCTTTAAGTGCTTCTTTTGTATCTCGATCGTCCTGGGGCCCCACTGGTTGTTTAGCAGGCTTCCTGCTTCTGATGTACTTAAAAAACATTTTGTTATTACCTTTT